GGACGATTAGGGTCCTCAACCAAAGCCTTTGGCTCAAAAGCCTAGCCTCAAGGCAGCGGTGTTTGGCGGGAAATGCAAATGCATTACCATTTCTACGGAACAAGTCGCCACATGTTCCAACCCCCAACCTGGAGGGCCAGGAGACTGTTCGTCAGACCTCCCACCATTGACCAACCTGGTATGAGAGACTCTGTGAGTGTCGCGGGACACTCTCCAGTATAGCTCAATGGATCGCTGAGGTGCGCGAACCGTCACACCAAGGTAAGGTCCAGTCTCTTCGTGACGGGTGTCCAAAGCACAAAATGTGTCCAAAGCACATTTTGAGGGTAAGAAGACTATGGGTTGAGCCATTCAGTCTGAATTAGGTGATCTCTTCTGGAAATGTCCTTTGAGTTTATTAGTCCGCTTTATCATCGGACGGAGACGGAAGTTAGTCAGTTGGGCTTATTTCATACGGTAACGCCTTGAAAGCAGGTTAGACCAGAGGCAACTTAAGGGAATTTTGAATAAGGACGGTCATTTTCGGACCTACCGATTTTTAAGACGCCCATCCAGTTGATTGCTTTCACACCGAAGAGGACCAAACTGAATCCCATGGTTGATCCGACAATGCTGTGCGTCCCGGATACAGGTAATCGGAAGAAGGTGGCGATCAAAAGCCAGATACATGCGCCTAAAGAAGAAAGATTGATGGAATTTCTTGAGGAAAAATGAAATTACTGTACATAAAAGCATACCTAAAGTCTAAAAACTAGCCAGTATGGCAACATGGCCAATTGGCTTGAAAATTTCGGTGCTAAAGCTGGCTGCGTATTTTAAACCGTCATCTTTTCATTCCATATCGACGGCGGGTCAAAATTTAGAACCCGAAAAAGTTTGAAGGTAAAATTAGATTTCTGGCTAAAATCATTAATTTAGTGGAGACCTGACCCTGAAAATAAAGTTGGTCTATGCTAGACAGTTGGGAAGAACTATAGAATTATCCCATTCATGTTGCAGATCATCAATGGTACGCACATTAAGGGGCCATTGGAAAACACCCTCCGACTACGAGTGGCTAAGCAGCTGTGGCTAACTCACACCCATACTGGATGCAATACCACTCACAATTCGCTCATGCATTTTATATTGCACAGCCGTTTGTCCACTGGCTGAAACCCAAAGTTCCTTCCAGAGGAAAGGACTGCCCCATACAATGCTTGCATTAGAACATCTTTGCAGGCCGCTCACGACGAAACGCCAGTTGCTATGACCCTCCCCCTTATTGAGGAGTGGAATAAACTATATACAGAGATGGAAAGATAGACGACTGATAAAATCAGTCGGTGCAGCAGGCAGAAGATGAATAGTTCTCGTTCGTGCTGATAAATTCTGGTTGGACAGGCGAATAGGCACTAGTCCGTTTTGTTTCAAAATTATCACCGCTCTTCTCCGAACAGACGAGAGATGCAACCATCAATCATCACCGGGTGTGAATATTGAGTAGTGAACTACGCAGATGACTGTCTTT